ATATATATGTATGTATATATATATATATATATATACATATATATATATATATATACATATATATATATATATACATATATATAATCATGTAAATTTTTGAATGCACCCAGGGGGCATTTTGGGGAATTTAACAAGATTAACACTTAAAAACAATTATTTGTTTGCTCGAAATTATAGCAAAGGTGTGTCTCAGTTTAACGTTTGCTTCATAAATACACTTTGAAGGTCAAATCTGCTGCATTTCAAAAGTCGATATGTGGAAGCAGGACCGCGCAGAGGGCGACTAGCTGTGCATTTCTTTGACATTTAACAAGATAACCACCTAAAAACAATTATTTGTTAGCTCGACTTTATGATGTGTCTCAGTTTAACTGTTACTTAGTAAATGCACTTCAATGGTCAAATTAGCTGCATTTTGCCAGGGAAGCGCAGCAAAATGAAGCTGATTTGACGGTTGCTCCAGGCAGATGAAGGTGGCAGGTATGGCAAGCCGATTGTGTCATTAATAACCACTTTTTCCTATTACATGATAAAACGGTATGCCATACTACTCCACTGTCATCTAGCGACTGAAAATGGTAGTGTTCAATATGTTCTGTCAGATTGAAATAAAACAGTCATATCTCAGGCAAAAATTGGTTTATAAATATGGGGGAAAATCCATAAATACGTTGCTTCAATTTATGAGTTGCAGTCAGTTTATGGCATGCGATTTATGCAAAAAACGTGACTTATAGGCTGAAAAAAATCGGTCTATGTATATATATATATATATACTTTGTACGTATATATACTAAAATAAATTACTACTATTTGTTATACTATTCCTACATAGCAGTTTTTCACTTATCGCCGGGCTTCAGAGTACTGGTCCCCCACGATAAACGAGGGAATACAAACATGTAGAGTAGAGCAAGTAAAGACAGCAGCAGAGGGAGGAAATGTGGTCAATTTGTCCTCCAGCAGTCTAAGCCTAGAGCAGCAAAACTATGGGATATCTCAGGAAACCCAAACACAATTTATACAATTTCGTTTTTCAATTGAATTAAATTCAATTAATTTTATTTATAAAGCGCCAAGTCACAACAGAAGTCATCTCAGGACACTGAACAAAGTATTCGTAAATAAAAATTTAATTAGTAACGTGTTTTATCTAAGGCAGGGTAAGGTATGAATTTTCAACACAAGATGATCTTTTTGTGTAAAATGTAATTTAAGGTGGTGAGCAATATGCATTCCTTCAAGTAATTTAGTGTAATAACTTTTGTTGAAGAAAGTACAGTATAAAATAATAATAATTATTATTATTATTATGCTACGTTGCTTCTTGTCTAACCTGAGCTGTGACTGCTCTCTCTCTGAGATGTTTTCCTATGGTACAGTGTTCACAGCCTGTTTTACTGTAATTCCCTCTATCAGAAAGCAGGAGGCAGAATAAAATGAATGGAAAGGTGTTTTGTTGTGGGAACAACACACACCAAACAAGGACTAAAAAAGTGCCTTTCACCAATAGCTCAAGCAGCATGGGCGCTGACATCATATCACTCCCACATCTCCTTCTCTTGATTTTAGCCCCACCCGCTCTTTTCCATTACCAAGTCGGTCTGTGTCCCTGTGTTATTTAAAGCCAGAGATCCTCCCTCTCGCCAAGCCACTGTGTTGCATCTGTCTGCCTCGCTGCTTGTGTGTCTCTCTCTCTGTGTGTGTGTATGAAAGTGCGCTAAAAAACCCAGGCAGCCAGTGGGAGAGCTAGAGAGCGAGGAGAGAGACACAGCAGAAAGACAAAAAAGCATCTGAGAAGGGAGCAAGAAACGGGAGTGTGAAACAGCTATGAAATTCATCCAGGCTGTTTGCTTACTGCTTCTCTTTCCAGCTCTGAGCAGCAACACCAGGTAGGACATAAAATATGAGGAGTTTGATTTAATTTTTATTCATTTTTACCCTCATACATTGTGAAACAAAAGGTGGTCCAGGATCAAAGCATGTCTTTTTTCCAAATCTTGTATTTCTAAGCTGAATGTCTGGTCAGTCTTGCCAGAGACTGAAGCTTAATTTTGTCCTGGCAGAGGCTCTCTCTGTGCAAAGTATGTTGGATAACAGAAGACTTAAATGGAGGAAGGAAGGGCTTATCTATTCAACTGGGCTATTATCTTTCTCAGTTCGGGGCAAGGATGAGAGACAGTTGTCCTTTTGTGGTGGCAATTCGCTGAATTTTCCTCCTCCGATCCCTGCTGAACACAGTGGCGATATTGCTTTTTACTGGGACTTTTGCTGCCTGCTGGTTGGGGTGGAAGTTGAAGTGACAGAAACTGGGGGGGAAAGGACAAGGCTACTTGTGTTGCAGTGCATTAAAGAGAGCAGGTGCTTGTGTGTGCTTCTGCATACATACTTATCTGCAACCAGCTTTGAAACTAGGCTGAAGGTGGAGCGATGGGCTAAAAGAACAAGAGACGCATGTGAGGAGAGGAAGTTTAATGATTCATCATCTCACTGATAAAAGCATCTTAATTCTTGGTCAGTGCCGGACGCCACTGTCTTAATGAGAGCTGTGAGAAGCGATCCGGGGCTTTGACTACAGCCTCGATACAACATCAGCAGGGATGACATGCATTCTCAAACTTGCCTTTTCATTTGCCCCTCATTTCTGCTAACACTTCAACACTGTTGTCATCTCTTTGTGGTGAGTTCGAAGAATGCAGTTGCTGAGCAATGCACACAGGAAAATAGCTTTGAAGTCTTGCAGCTTCTGTGGAGAAATTTAATCAGATAAAAAATATATATAACTTTTGCTAGTGCAATGCTAAAGACAAGACCCTACAATGAAAGTATGCATTTTTGTCTACATCTAAAGTATTTGTCAATACTGTGATGATCCAAATTAACACATACTTTATTGATATGTTGAGTTCTAGCATTTAGGAGGCAGCACATGAAGACTCAAAGATCTTTAACACACCTACCATGTATACTCTTACGAAACAAATTGCAACCTGCAGAGGATCTGGCATTTGTGGTTTCTCGTCATTTTATTGGATGTTTTGCTTGCATTAGTGCTCTTGTGGCATTTTAAATAAGTGAACTGCACTCTGTCTCTCAAGCCTTAAGCTTAAATAGTGTACCATCATCATCATCCGTCGAGGTACTAATTGGAGAGGGAGGCATTACGGTGGTAATTTGGCAGGTCAGCACAGATTGTTTGTAACCTCTTGAGGGAGAATGTCATGAAAAGTAATTACCAGACCACACAGATATAATCAGTGTTTTATTAGATGGTTTGTTTCTTAACTCCAGATGAAAAATAAGCTGCTCAGAAGATTGTGTTGGTAAAGACAGAGGTATAGGAAAAAGCCCGCATCACACTCTGAAGTTTCATTTGATTAAAAAAAAAAAACATTTAAAACAAGAAGCATACTTTCTAAAACAAATTTGTACTGTCATAAATGTACATTTAGTCTTAGTAATAATGATGTATAGTCAACAAATTTGTAGTTACTATTAAAACGGCAACATTTTAGGGAGAATGTACATGTCAAAAATCGTTTTTTTGTTGTTGTTTTATTTATTGCTTTTTATATTTTACACCCTTTACAAAACAAGCCTAAATTTTGTTAAAAAAGTTATTATTATTATCATTAGTAGTAGTAGTATTGCTATAATATGGGAGTGGTGGCGCAGAGGTTAGAGAAGGTGGGCCTGTAATCTGAAGATCGCTGGGTCAACTCCCAGTACAGACAACATCAAAATGTGAGTGAGACAGATGAAACACCCACACCTGTCTCCACCCTCATTTGCCACACTCTGGGCCCTTGAGCAAGGCCCTTACCCCCCCCCCCCCCCCCCCCCCATGGGGTTCCCCGGGCTCCCTAGATAGCAGCTCTGTGCTCCACAGAGGGCTGTGGTAACTCGGAGGTCTGGGTTGCGTCATGAAGTGCATCCGGGGTAAAAATAATTGCCAAGTCTTCATGTCGCTTATTTCACTGTGGCCACCCCTGAAGAAGGGAACAGCCGGAAAAAAATAAAAATAAAATGTATATATATATATATATATATATATATATATATATATATATATGAGTATAACTATCGTGGGTGGATTACATTACCCCAAAGTGGAAAAATTAGAGGGTCAATTTTTAAATAGTGGTTGATGTGCATCAGACAGAATTAGCTTTTCTTTTATAATAAAGCTGGGATGACTTGATAATTATTTTACAATGTGTTTTGATTTTCAGCATCTCTATGGCACCCCACTCATCAATGAAAGTTGTCTTTTTTATCCAATATTTAAACTATTATTAAATGCAGATGCGACTCACTCCAAGGAGTAAAAAAAATTGTAAAGAGGTTTGTTAACCTCTTTTTTGAGTGCACTGTGTCTAGAAGTTATCTGCTGCTATTTCTTTTATTTATGTATTTTTTTATGGTTATAAAGCTTGGGATTAATTTTATTTTTTAGACCAGTTTTGTTTTTCACTCTAGGCGGTACTCAACATCCTCTTGCTGATTGTTTTCTCAGGCACGCCTTCTGCTATTTTTGTTCCTATTCTGGAGGGCAGGAAGTCCAACTATGCTTATTATTTTAACCATTATTATTATTATTTTTTCCTGTTATGGTATTATGGTGAAAAACATTTTCTAAGAGATATGAATATGTAATAGCAAAACCCACCCGCATATA